TTTTTCTTGATGATCAAGCAAACCAAGGAAAGTAAAGGCTTACATAAGTCTAGAATTTAAAACTTGGCCAAACCATTCATCAAAAAGATGTTACATTACATTACATCATGATATCCAAGTAACAGTGCATCAATTATGAATAATATCAGGCATCAGTCATAGATAATATCATGAGATCAATGTCATGTAGTCATCACAACTATGGGAAATCATATTCACAATTCATTCATTACACACTCACTCCCTAGTTCACCTACTCCTGCTAGTAGAAGCCTTATTCATCAAGCCAAGCCAATCCCGTTGTTTAAAAATTCTACCATCCCACAAGATGAAGGATAGTGACAAGCGGGTTATTCTACTTCGTAATACCCTCAACTGACGCACATAGTCCCCAGCGCGTTTTGGGGTTCAACAGGTCTTTACCTTGCAAGGCATTCATCAATCACATATCTCATCTCATAAATCATAGGGAGCAACCCTCCTTTCTCCCCTGACCAGTTCTTATCATTGTACAGATTAGGGAATATGCCGGCATCACCTCCTTAGTGTATCAATCTCCACTACCGACGGGTGTCCCATCGCGAAGTGGCCAGTATTAGTAAAACAGTGGCCAATATTCTCATCAATGTAATAATATCATACCCACTACCAATGGGTGTTCCATTGCGTAGTGGTCATCATTAAGGCCTCTTTCCATGCTCGAGCATTCAATTCATTCATGCCAATTCAATGCCTCATAACAGATGAATCACATTCTCATCATAATAGTATGGCAATTAACACGAAGCATTCATTACATGCATCGTAGCATTGCATTTATGCATGAATATCATCCACGACATTTTGGCACTTATCATGAAACTTTCATCATGAAATAGTCACATCAATATGGCACTTATCAAATTTCACGTAACGCATAGTCACTTAGTACCATTCATAAAACAATATGGCATTTAGTATTTATCACAGGAAGATTGTCACATGGCACTCAGAAGGCAGTGACATGTACGACGCTACGTGCATGACGCTACACGCATGGTGTTATGCGCACGACGTTGCATACATGGCATTACGTGCGTGGTGTTATGCGCATGGGGTTACGTGCATGGTACTACTCACACGGCATTACGTGCACGGCATTACGCACACGACGTTACACGCGCTGCGCTACACACATGCAGTTTCACAGACGGTAATGCCTAGACACACGCGGCAATGCTTATACAATTTCATGCAGATAGCGATGCCCAAACACAAATGGTAATGCACATGCAGTTTACACGGGCGGTGATGCCCAAAGGAGGCACAGTCGCTGGAATTTACAGTGACTGTGAGCGATGACATGCCTCATATTTTAGGCCCTTTTTTTATCCATGTGACATTTTTATCAAAAAGAAAGCTTTAATTGGACATGCGTATCTTTCATTAAAAACCAATTTGGACCCATTTGGGTGCCGTTCGGTCAGCGAAAGGCACGGGGCAAGAGCCCACACAGTTGCTGGAAAATCTTTCCCTCAAACATTAACATGTCATCACCATATTATACCCCATTTTATAAATCAACTTAAATCATAATTTTTGTCTTAATCAAATCAAGTAAACTTGTAAGTTTGGCAAGGAAATAATTCTATGATTTTCCCAAAATTCATAGGCCATGTTCAACATTCATTCTACTTCATTTATCTTACATTCTACATTTATTCGTTCTATCATACATAGCACTAAATCCACTTACATGGTCATGATGCTCTTAAGTTCCTTGTGTAGGTCGCTCCTTGCTTTCCCCACGGTAGCTTCTCCTTCGATCCCCACGCTTAGGTTGCTCGCCTCTCCTCGCACCAGTTGGTAGTTCCCCAACAGTAGCAGCACAAAGAAAGTATGAGGGGAAAGAAAGGGTAAATGGCACTGAGGGCTGGAGGCGTATGATTTAAAGGCGCGGGGGTTGGTGAGATCCACTGTGGCTGAAGCCGTGGTTGGTTGGGTAGAGAGCTGTGGCTGGCGTCACACGTGCGGTGTGGCGTTGAGACACTCGGTACGACGCTGACAGATACGGCGCAGCGCTGACACCGCTGACGGCTGCACACTTGACCAACCTCGCACGTTGCTACTCCAGGCAGCGATAAGCTCGCGATGATGCTCCAGCCGATGATAATTTGTTTCGCGTGCGGTGATGCTTCTTATGCCTTTCACGCGCGGCGATACTCCTCTCACGCTTGCGGCGATACCCCTGGTTTGCACGTGGCATTATCGTTTCTTCACTCTTATGCACGACATTAGCTTTTATGCTACATGGACGACACTAAGCCAAATCACTCAGACGACACTAACCGTCACCCTTAGCGTCGGGCATGCGCTTTCGTCTTTCTCGACTTCCTTCTCTCTCTCCACTGCCACGAGTCTGGTTCAATCGAGTTGTGGCCCTTACAAATGAGCCCAAAACCATAGAAATCATATCTTTTGAAGAAATGATATCTCAAGCTTCATGAAGCAATAACGCGAGATCTGTACATCGAATCATCGTAAAGAAGGTCCGATGAGACCGTATCACGAAACATAAATTTTACACTCACTCTAGGGTCGGATAATCACAAATTTCAAGGTTGAAGAAAAGGAAGATTGCCTGGTCGTCGGAGTCCCTTTTTTCACTCCCGAATTCAGAAAGACCTTCAAGTAAGAACCAAAATGGACAAAATTTGGTGCAAAACGACTGTAGTAGTCTCCTCTTTGACTACCGTTGAGACTGAGATAGGTTAAACTATCTCTGTGCAGTTTAGACTGCCGTTGAGACAATCCTTAGCATATTCTCAAAATCCCTAGACTAAGCATTGCGCCAATCATAGTCAAATGGGGAACACTAGAATCATGAGAACCATACCCATCATCTGTAGGTTCGCTGCGTATCTCCAAGTGGTTTATTCTTAGTCTTTCAAAAGGCGAAGTATCTGGTCACGTTCGTGATGAAACTATACCCAACAGAGACTCTGTGTGGGGCGTACTAAGCCAGGTTGAGGTAATCTCCAACAACTTTACTTGCTACATTTTATTTCTTTTGTTGTACTATTTTATTCCCATAAATCAATGTGTTAAGTTTATATTTATTGAATAAAGGAGTTGTATTTAAGTGGTAGCAAGTGATCACTGTTATTTATTTATTTATTTATTTATTTCAAGAGTGATTTTATTGAACATTGTAAGTGATCTTGCCGGTGAAAGAAAAGAAAAATTCAGATTTATATATATACAACGTGCTTATCACATAGTCCACCTTTCAATGACATGGGCAAGTTAGGTTCACTTGCTACGACACACTAGAATTGGGCGGTCTAAGGCAGCCCAAACTGTAGTACTCATAAAAATCTAGGAACAAAGGCATTAGAATCAAGGAGGCTGGTTTCCAAAGAGGCTTTTGGGTCATCCCTTACAAAGGTAAGAGATATTCCAATGAGATGTCAAGAGGAAGATAGACCCTTTCATGGGGTCGGTGGCCTTTGAGGACAAGGGCATATAACCTTGACAATATCACACCATTGCATGTGAACAATACCTGCAATATGGGAAGCCACGTCCTAGAGGAGGACTCAAGGAGGACATGCACATGTGCCTAATAGGAATCCCCTACACCCTCGCATTGTGGTGCACAGTCTCAAAAGCGATTTGATCTTGTCATTGAGGGGAGCTGTAATTCACAAGTTTTATTTTTACATTCTTAACACCTAGTGGATGGCTTTGATAGCCCAAGTATGAGACCTTGTTTATACAATTATGGATCATGGGTTTCATTGAGTTAGTTTAAGAATATATCCTGAGGTCTACAAAGTAGCTTAGGTGGATTGCCTTGAATTGATTTTCTAGGTCTATGCACCTATTCCCCTTGAATGATTTTTAAATGAGCCCGAGTCATTTTATTTTGATAATATGGTTAAAAAATAATTGTTAAATAATTTTCAGTTTTTTATAATTTTTTTGCATAAGTACAAATAAGGGAAACAAATAAACTCGAAAAAGGCCAAGAAGGAATTTGAAAAGTGGACTATGTGATCTAACCAAGTATATACAGTTAAATTTTTTTCTTTATACCAACTAGAACATTTACAAGTGTCCAAAATATTAATTATAGAAATAAACCCTTATACACTCTAGAATCTTCATTGCCATTCTATTTAATTTTTACATTTAAATAAAATACAATATATTAGACACTCTGAAAAGTGCGATATTTTTAAAATATGTCGTCATCTTTTCTTAGAATGTTAGCCACCATGTTGGCCTCACGAAAAATGTAGAAGATGAATCACCCATGATTAGAAAGATGTTGTCTACAATTTGTAGCAATCGTATGTAACTTCCAAGGAGATCGACAATGTTCATGAATAACATTGACAAGTAAAGCTGAGTAGCTTTCAATCTAAGAGGAAAACACTTTAGCTGAAGGGCTAGCACTAGACCTTCTTCCAGAGCAGATAATTCTGCATAATTATTGGAAGCAATTCCAAAAGGCTTTGAGACTGCTGTCAAAATAGTTTATAGAAAAAAATTAAAAATAAAATAGTGTAGAGGTGTGACATTGTGATTGAGGCAATCTTAACCCTCTATTCATAATGGACGGTTGGATAAGGAATAGACGGTTGGATAAAGAGAATGATAGGACTTCTATGTTGCAGGAGAAGCATAGGAAAGTTACCTTTAAAAAAAATTGTCCAAATCAAATTTCAGGAGAAGCATAGGAAAGTTACCTTTAAAAAAAATTGTCCAAATCAAATTTTAAAACATTGGCCATGCATGTTTACCGGTGATTGGCACGTACCAAAAACCCGCACGAGCAAAAAAAAAAAAAAAACGACTAGGCATCCCCCGAAAAGCAGAGGAGAGAGGGAAGGACCCCATTTGATGTGGACGGCCACGATTCGAGAGCCGACAAGCGGGACCCATCTCTGCCAAGCGAGAGTCGACGGCGCGTGCTTCCTAATGCTATTGCCGTCCTGACCCAGGAAGTAAAATACAGAAAGGTTCATTCTCAATCGTCCATTTTCCTTCTCTCTCTCTCTATTTCCATACAGACAAACACGGGTTCTCTCTCTCCTCTCCCTCGTTTGTTGCGGATTTTTCTGCCTATCGAACCCCGGCATGCATGCATTTATTCCCTTTGCTGATAAATTGCTTGACCCTATTCTAAGAGAATCTTTTGCAATGTGACCCCTCTCTCTAGGATTGACTGTTGTTTGATTGTCGCCGTAAGAATTGAGGGGCACTCGGAGGAGAAGAATGGGGTCTCCTCAAAATACTAATTGGGATTTTGATGGGATAATGGTCGACGATGCTTTCTGGATTTCTCAGGCCTCGAATGGGGTGCCTAATAGTAGGTAATGGTCTAAATTTGGTCCAATTTTTTAATAACATGAATTGTGTGTCTTCTTTTTTTTGTCATTGATCCTCCCTCTGTGGGGTTTTCATGCTTTCGGTGAGTGCTTCAGAATTTTGATTTGGCTCTTGAGTTAATCGAGCTGTTGAACTTTTATTTGTTCTTGGAGATTATGTTGTTTTGTTAAGAATTGAGGGGCACTCGGAGGAGAATGGGGTTGAATAGTGGCTCATTGTTTTTCATGGTAATTTAGGTGGGCAAATTTGGGTGTTTTGGTCATGCAGTAAATCCCGTTTGTTGATACATACCAGAAAGTAATTCTTTCCTTGAATTTTGTATATGACTATATACTGAATGAACTATTAGTTGTTGAAATATTTTTGAGATCGAGAAGTTGGGTTTTTTTTATATGATTTTGGAAATCAGAATGACCCCATTTCTTATTATTGTTATTTAGTGGAGCTTTTGAGTTGCTCTGGTTTTACTGTCATCTTTATCACAATAGAGGAATTCATCCATTCTATGCCCAGTCTTTATCACCAGAGAGGAATTTATCCATTCTACGTTGGATTCCTGCAACAGTAATTTTTAGATCTTCTTTTTTCTGCATTCTACGGTGGTTAGTTGATTCTGAATGGTTTCAGAAAACCTTCTCATGTTATTTCATGTTTTTTGGGTTAAGACCATATTATACATATACTTAAGGCATACGCCAATGCCATGCACTCACCCCTCTTGGCTGTTGATTTGCCAAGTACTTACTTACCTTGAGTTGGATCAAGCCTGTTCAAATTGTATGTAGATTTATCAGCACTCATTTCAGCCAATTGAAGGCCAGTATATGTGAGACTGGTTTTTGAATGACCATGGTGTTAAATATAAGATGGTCTCTTCTTGGTCATATCTCTTGTCTTCCAACGTCTGTTACTGGGACAAGTGAACAAATTTATTTGCCAACTCTGGAGAAGTCCAGATATTATTTGTAATCATCAAGTATATCACTATTTTAGCCTTCAATGGGAGGCCTTATGGTTTTCTCTACTATATTCCGAGCATTTTTTTTAAATTCTTTTTTTCTTTGACATGTGAAAGTTTAGTTTATGCAGGATACAACTTCATAGCCAGTTTAGTGCACTGGGATCAAACACTGGAGGGGTTTCAACTTGGTAAAGAAAAGAAAAAGGAATAAACAAATACATGTTCTCATGAATGCAAGCACTTCCTCCTCTTTTGTTAATGCATATCATGAAAGCGAATGTTTATTTTTGGTTGATACCTCTTAATATCAAATTACTTCACCATGGCCTGGATTTTATAACTCTTCATCATCTTGCATTTTGCTTATGGAGCTGAAATGGTCATTTATAGTACACTTTGTTGCTAGCCTAGCTTTGGTCATACATTGTAACACATTATTTGAAATGCGCTTCCACATTTGGTTGTGGGTTCTTATTTACTTCTTAGTAGCCTAGTAGCCTGGGCTAGTCAAGGGCCTGGAATGACATACCATGAGACATGAACTCTTGGACATGCTTTCTTTCAAAACAACCAAGCCATACATGGTCACCAACGGAATGTTTTCTAGAAAATTGCTGGTTTCATAGGGTTTAGTAAACAGAGGCTTCTCATGTTGTTTGCCAGATATATGCTCTGGGCACAAGGAAGCCATATGTGGTTCTTCTTTTGTTGCAGTTGGATAGGTTCGAAAGTTGATACTGCTGGCTTAGGTCCCATGGAGGGTCAAGTGTGTTTAAGAGTTTCATGCTGGGTTCTGCATGCTGATGGTAGAGTTTCCTTGGTGTTATTTTCATGATGCTTAACATATTTCACTGATTGGACATACTTGCTAGTGTATTTTGATATTATTATTTTTATGTTTTGTACTTCTCCCATGTTTCTTTTATTCTTCAATTTTAAATGTACTATTTTGTTGTGCTGTTTATTCACTTCACTTCTCTCTTTCTCTCTCTTGCTTTCTTGTTACAGATATTTTACTTAAGTTCCAGCATATGGTGTTTTGGGTTGCCAACTGCAACATGCTTGATGCATTCTGGACTTTGGAAAACAGTACAAGTTTTAGTGCATCTTACATATAGATGATTAAGTCTATATGTAGTGCATGAAAAAAGATGTTTGTTCATTGTATGATGTGCCTTTGCCTTTGATTTTGATGGGAATTGAAACCACCATCCAAAGCCTCTTGTATCTATTGTTTATGTGGGCCATTAGAAAACATCTACTTAATATTGATGTTGCCTGGTCCTCCCTTCCCTTTCTTGTAGTCTGCGGTGTGCCATAGTGTATTAACATTGTGGCATTTCAAAGCACTCCCCTTTGTCTTTTTATGCCTGCTCCTTGAATAATGGATATTGACATAAAAAACCTAGTGCCCGAGGCACCTTACAGTGCGTTAAGAGTGTCAATAGAAAATTAAGTGAACTTTATAGAACTGTCGAACATTTCATCAGAACTATATGGAACTCTTAAGCCTTTTCCTTGTAGATCTTAGAAAAATTGATGAGATGAGCATGATGTGTTGCTAAAACTTCCTTGGAAGTTGCCGCTTTGTTGAGAGTTTAGACGGGTACAACTGTTACTTAATTGGAAGTGTCATCCATTTTCTTGAAAGTGTTGAGATGTCTTGATGATATTCCTTCGAATATTTAGGAGGTTGGTTGGGAACTGTAGGGACATTCAGTAAATATTTCTTTGGATGTAATAAGTACTTTTCTGAAAGCATCCTCTTCCACAACTATTTCAGTTTATCAACAAAGTTTTGGATGTTGTATAAGAAATCAGACACTCCTGACAGGTGTTATGTGATGAGACCACCTAATCTGTATCCATGTGGTGCTACATATGATAGTTTCTTCTGTTCCTTCTTTACTCTTTGAAACATTGTTGGACTGTTGATAGGCAAATTATAGAGCAAATGGGCATATGATGAATTTTCTCCTTGAAGATTTTCACATGTGTGGCTCAACTCCACTAGTTGCTCACCCTGCAATAATGATACCATTCATATTAACCTTTCGTTTGGTATGTTCCTTTCGTAAAATGTCTCTTAATTTATGATTGGGAAACATTTGGAAGAGGCTTAGCAGTTAATGGCCAAAATCCATGGTATTGGGTTTGAATCCTATCATACCCTCATGAAGAAAAAGAAGAATCATATTTTCTTTTTGTTAGGTTAGCTTGGTTTTCAATAGAGACCTGCGAAATTGAGACCCTTCTTGCTGCATAGTGGGTGTCTCACTATAAAACCAAAAGCTTGTTAACATGGTTAATGTGAAAGAGGATAAAAACAGAAAAAAGAAAAAGAATTGGAATATATTTTTGCATTCATGGGAATTTGAGGAGCTGCGCAACTATCTTTAATGGGCTTGTGTTTCTGCTACTCTGACTAACGATGATGCTCGACTTTGTCCCTTCTCCAGCATTTCACTTTGCTCGCAACCTTCTTTTATGTATCTCACTTGCGGATCTTCTTGTTGCCTAGCGCTAGTTAGTAGCGTCCCAACTCCGTTCAAATGAAACTAGCCTGATGAAAATCCACTATGCTTTTTTTTTTTTCATCAGAAGAAAATTCACAATGGTTTACTACTAGGTTTGTCTTCCTGATTCCATTAGATTATGAATGCACTTTTTCTATGTGAGGCTTATTCTCTCTATTGGATGTAATCATATTTTGATTGATTTCTCTTGAACTTGTAATTCAAAAGGGTCACAGGCTTTCTTCTCCAAACTCTGCTTTATGAGTGCATGCTTGATATTTCTGTCTCTTGATCTTTCACATTCTCCTGAAGTAGTTTGCCACTTTGGATTCTTTTGGTTTTATATTTGATGGATTTGTTTGGTTTCTTTTCATTTTCTTTCTTTGTTGATCCTTTCATTCGGCTTGCCACTAAGTATTAACTGTACATATAAGATATCTGGATGGATGACACACAAAACTGGCAATGTCCCTTAAACTTGGGCTTCCATCATTTAAGGAGCTTTGAAATAGTTGGTGTGGTTTATACATATCTTGCAAAAAGTATTCTTTATGCATCATTGAAGTTGGATACGTCCTTGGAATGTGCCATAGAACACTACAATTTGAAGTTCCTTTTGGTTCTTAAGGAATCCATCTATAAATGAAGACCATTTTAAAGGGCATTTCAGACTTTCAGTTTTTTATTCAGATGCAGCGAAAGATGGCAATACCCCGTAACCCCTAGCTATTCCTTGTTAACCTACTGGTCACCACATTTGTTGATCTAGGTACTCGAGTGAATTCCATAATACAAAACTTTGATAGCAAACGAATGATTTTGTCAAATTTCCCCTAATTTACCAGGGAATATTTTTTAGGCTATGGTATGAAACGTAAGGAACCACCTCCAATAATCCTTGGCCTTTGAAAACCCCTCCTCAAGTCCACAACCCAACAAGTGTCCTATTTTGCTTTGTTACATGTTAAGTGCTTAATGCAAGAGGTCTTGCTTAACACTTCATTTGTCGCTTCATCCTTGTCTTATATGACACCATGGAATCCATGTGCCCTGAATTATCTGCTATCATTAACCGCATAACGCCTTTCTTTCGTTTATAGTTTTTTGAGGTGGGAGAGTGGGGGGGAGGAGTGGTTTACTTGCAGATCACTCCCCCTGTGGTGATGAGTGCCGACTCATACAGGCGTTCAGACATTTGGAGGTCTTCCCAACCTGGTTTGCTAGGCAAAGTCAGTGTGGGAAATTTTGGTGTTATAGAGCTTACCTTATCATTTCCGGAATGAGATCGTACTTAATGAAGTGTTATGGTCATGTGAAGTTAGGGTATCTTTTCAGGTTTTTTCCAAAATTATATTGTCCTAGTTTATTTCTTTAAGGGAAAATTTGGCTAAATTTAATTAGGAGTTCTAAGTACTTTTAAATTAGGATTAGGGCATCCAAAGTCTATAAATAATGGTCGTGTTAGGTTTCTTTTTAAAGTTGATCACTGTTTAAGAATAAGTGTTCT